ATGATTGTATCATAATAGATCTCTAACCCTCATTTGTCACTTTTAAGCTTTATTAGTACCCGGTGCAAATGAAACATTTCATCTTCTTCATGTGTGTAGAACTTCCGGGGATCCGTGGGAGGATTTCATGTCAAGACAGTCGACACAACCGGAGCGGGTGATTCATTTGTGGGTGCCCTTTTGTGCAAGATCGTCGATGATCACTCCATCATTGAGGTGAGTGAGTTAAGCAGAGTATGCAGTAGTTGTTTTTGAGCCATTCCCATCATCTATCACCAAAAAGGCTTTAGCTTTAATAACTTATGTTTTTTCCATTCCATCATTATGTAAATAATAATAGGAATCCTGGATTATTATATCAAAACTTTAGCTTATGCAATTTACAATGTGGGTATGTATGATTGGGTTGCAGGATGAATCAAGACTGAAGGAAGTACTTCGTTTTGCATGTGCGTGCGGAGCAATCACAACCACCAAAAAAGGAGCAATCCCTGCCCTTCCTACCAAAGCTGAGGCCCTAGCTATTTGCTGAGCAAGCTTTTTGAGTAGATTTCATTGCCTGTTGCCATTTCCATTCATTTTCTTTATCAGCTCTAGTTTTTATTTTTACTTAGTTTCATCTTTTTCCTTTCAAGTTTGGGATTCTTTTACATCGCTTGTAATCATGGATGATGGCAAATTTCTAATAAACTTAAGTTCCTTGTAGTTTGCTGTGCTAGTTCACCCTCGGGCTTAACGTCTCCCATTTTCATTGTGCCGTGGCACTACCACATCGGTTCTGAAAATAAACTTAATATAATAAAGCAAGATAATATTAGTGTTTGCGTTTAAGTTTTTCCCAAGTACTTCAAATATTTTTGTTCACATTAGGACTTAAGAATGTTTTCGGCCCCTAATCCGACCAGACTAGACTTAGGATGCTTTCACATATTAGATCATATTTAAAAGACTAGATTCAATTTAATCGGGTTAGACCAAATTAAACTTTAACAATTATAAAATACACAGAGATCAGACATCTATCAGACCAATTCAGACTAGATCAAATCAAATCAGTCACACCAAAAACATTTTATTTTCACGATAACAATAAATTACTTTTTTTTATTGTCTAGGGACCGAAATTCCAGAGACGGCCATGATTGGTAGTAACCCTCATTTTGATGCTTTTCTTTTTCAGCCGACGTCTAATACGAGATGTCATAATATTTGAATATGAAGTTTGACGGATGAGAATCGTGAGAGTACTAAATGCAGAATGTCAAACAAATAAAATTCAGTATCCATAATTAAATAATTATTATATAAAATATATAAATAAACTCAAAGCCACGGGGAATTGATTGTTGATATGATATCAGGGACAACCTTCGAAAATGACAAAACAGATATTTTAAAATGGTCAGATTCTCCATTGATTCTAAAAAGCTGGAATCCAATCGCCATTATTTAGCATCCTCTGTGAAAGTTGTAATCCTTCCATGCAATAAGAAACACTTCTATTTCTATCATCCTATGGATCGGGTAAACATGCTATAAGAAGCATGTAATTGAGGTGTCTGCCACAATTGCACAAATGCAATTTTGTGGGGCCATAGACAGAGTTAGGGGTTGCAGAGGGTCCCCCTTCAACTTTTCCGAAAATATTCCGTCCCTGTATATTTATAAGGAAAAATTGACAAGAATAATCTCACCTGGTCTTCTCATAATAATTTCATCTTTAACTAATCCCAAAATAATCCCACATTTGCACCTCATCTTCTTTCATTGGACCCTGACCATGTTTTTTACTCTTTCTTTGAAAGTTATACAAATAATCTCACCTTTCACTTTTTAATTATATCCTTATAAATGTGAGATTATTTATATAAGATTTTTAAAAAAGATAAAAAACTTGGTCAGGGTCCAATGAAAGAAGATGATGTGCAAAAGTGGAATTATTTTGGGATTATTTAAAGGTGGAATTATTATGAGAAGACCCGTGAAAGGTGAGATTATTCTTGTCAATTTTTCCTATTTATAATGGCTGTTTGATTCTCTTTTACGTTTTTAATAGTCAATTTTTCTTGTTTCGTTTAAAAAATTAACTTATAAAACGTTTTGAGTACTCCGTAATATTTTTAGTAAAAAAATGTCGTTTTAAAAAAAATCATTTTCATGTAAAGTAAAAAATATGTAATTAAAGATATTTTTTTCTTTTTTACACAAATTTCGACCACACATTTTTTACTTTATTATTTTACGTACAAGTCAATTTTGGTTAAGAATCTGTTTATTTTCCAGCATTTTCATCCTATGTTTAAAAAACCGACCCGACCCGGCCAGGTTGACCCGGAACCCGGTGACTCGGACAAAAAACCGGTTCGATTTTTTCAAAACCCGGAAATGGTCAAAAACCGGAAAAACTCGACTGATCCGGAAAAACCCGGTCAAGACCCGGACCCAAGAAACCCGAAAAACCCGATAAAACCCAGTTTTTGGGTGTTTTTACCAAAAAAAGTAATTTCTTTTTTATTTTTAATGCATTTTTTATACCAATAAAATTGCAATTTCAATACATTAAAAAGAAAAACTACGTAATATATTTATATATTTATTTAAGAATGAACATAATGCCAAATTATAATATAGATGTACAATAAAAATAAAAATATCATTATATATTTTTATAAGATCAAAATATACATTGAAATATTATGAGAGTGTATTAAATGCTTAATAAGTAGTATTGTTAGTTGATTATTATGAATAATAACTAATTTTGATTATAATTTTATATATAATTATATGTTTACTATTATTATATAGACGTATAATCATTGACCGGTTTTTCGGCGTTGACAGGGTTGACCCACCGGGTCCGGGTTGACCCGTGATCCAGTCATGTGGCCGGGTCACTCTCCGGTCCGGTTTTTACAACATAGTTTTCATCCTTAAAGTCTAAAACGCTTCAAATATGAGTGTATACAAGTTTAAGAAATCATCATTTTCAGTTTTCACCCTCACCCACAGCCCAAGTATGGGTGGACCGGTTCCGGTTTGGGCCTGGGCCCGGCCGGGCCTCGGTTCAGAAATGGGAGGCCCGGAACCGGCCCGGGTAATCCCGGTTCCGGTTCGGGCCGGGCCTCGGTTCTTTTTTTTTTTGGCTTTTCCTAATTAACTCCTAACCCTCCCCCTCACCCCCAAACCTATGTGGTAAGAACCGGACCGGGCGGGTAGACCCGGAACCCGGTCACCCGGAGTCCAATCCGGTCCGGTTGAACCCCAACCCGCAAATGTGGCTGAACCCGGAAAAATCCGTTGACCCAACAGACCCGGACCGTAACCCGCGACGGCCCAAACCCGGAAATTTCTTAAAACCCGGAATTAACTCAAAAATATGCACCAAGGGAGATTCGAACCCGGGTGTGCAAGTAGGGAGGAGAGACGTCAAACCGTGAAGCTGCTTTGGAATGTTGGTACAATGTGTTACTTAACCATATTTAATATACTCCGGGGTATATCTTATACTACGTATCTGTTACGGAGTAAACTTACTTTTTAATTAATAATTACAATAAAAACATAACATCATTAATACAGTATATGTGATTACTAATATTATGAGTTAAATGTTTATACTCCGTATAATATTTCATTTTTTAATAAGCATCATATTGATATTTAATATCCATCTAATTTAATACTACGTATATATTTTATGTTTAGTTAAAAAATTGTATATTTTAAAATAATAATTCTATTTATTTGTTGACTGGGTTTTCCTGGTGTTGACCGGGTTGACCCGCCGGGTCCGGGCTGACCCGTGACCCGATCGCTCGACCGGGTCGCTTCCCGGTCCGGTTTTTACAACATAGCCCCAAACCACCCCAAACCACCTCAAATGGCCCAAAATACCAAGCCCAACCCAATAACTTAAAAAAAATTAAAAAAAAACAAAAAAAATAATTTGGTCCGAACCGGGCCCGAACCGGTCGGGCCGGTTCGCCAATCAAAGGGCCCGGGACCGAACCGCACAGTAACCGGGGCGGGCCGACCCGAACCGCCCCCCGGACCGGTTCCCGGGCCGGGCCGGTTCAAACAGTAACTGGGCCTGGCCGGTTCCGGGCCGGGCCGCCCGGCCCGAGTCCATCCATAAGCCCAAGTGCCAACTCCTTCCAAGAACTCAGATTATTTATAAGAGTCATGTACTCATGTTTGAACATAGTACAAATATTTATTTTTCACAAAACACATTGATATAAGTTATAAATGGTACATATACTTTAAACTTTTTTGATAGTTCAAGACTTCAAGAGCTCGTTTGATTATAGACAATTAGACAAACCGACTGTATTGGTTTATTATGCTGAAATTTATGAAATTCTGACTGAATTGTCTGGATTGGCTGATGATGTTGATTTATGAACAATTTTTATTCAAAGTACTTGTATATCTTATTAATAAAATAAAGAAAAAATTAAATGAAAATAACTAAAATGATCCTCTACTATAAAACTTCAACCAATACAAACAGAAAAAATAATTTCAACCTTACCATTTCCTATTATTACACAATTCAAAGCGCAAAATCAAAAGTTACACGTTTAGTGAAATAGTTGACTAATAAGCTTGATAAACAAAAAACATGGTCACCAAATGGGCTTTAAGTAAATTTAACTTGTTCTTACTCTAGCTTCTATTTTTTCAGATTTTAATAAGCTTTATTTTAATTTTTATCAAGCATGGCTGTTTTTTTATAAGCTACTCCGTCATAAAATACGACTCTTTTTATGAAACAGAGAGGAGTCCAGAGGACTAATTTTTTTTAATTTTAGATTTTTAAATTTCGTTTACAATATGCTTGTATGAATGTTTCTAATAATACTCCCCTCTTGTCTCAAAATTTTCTTTCAAGTCTGATTAGGGACACTTATAAGAAAAGTAAAACTATATAGTAATGGTTGATTTTAAAAGAAAACATATGATATCAATGACACAGAAGTTTTTAAAAAGAAACGAGGCAATAGGAAGAGAAATATGGAACAAGAGAAATATATGTTTTGAAAAAGTTTGACTTCTATAGAGAAATATAGGAAGAGAATTATGGAACAAGAGAAATATAAGTTTTGCAAGGTGACTGCATCTTGCCCAACCACCAAACAAGATGAAACCACCTTCGAAACACGCTCCTTAAATTATCGCTCGAATACATGTATGTATTTCACCCGCATTTTTACTACTACAAAGTACAAAGTTTATGCCTGTACTAAAATGCAATTGCCTGTGGATAGCAAGCAACAACCTCCAACCTAAGGGATTCCCAGACATTGTTGTGCTTGGTTTGCCTTTCTTGCATGTGAGCTAAGAACCCTTTTGCCCATGGTTCGTCACTCCCCGCCAAGCTTAGTTCATAAGGAACAGAGAAACTGTTGGTAATGGAGAATCAAGCCAAAAGATCATTAAGTTGATAGTTTGATACATAGAGAATTAATTTCATCATAAATTCCAGGCTGATAAGTATTGTTTATCTGATCTATTTGTTTTTTTTTCTATAAAAAAATGTTTATCAAGCTGTCCAAGAAGAGGGCACATGGCCCAAACAAATTAAACAAAGAAACCATGGCTCTTGTGTATCTGAAGGTATTAATGTTTTTGCAGACATAAATATGCTCTTGTGAAACCAACCAAACCAAACCAAACTAAGGCTTTCCACTATGCTGGGGTTAGCTAAAAGGATTAAGCGGTGTCATTTCTTCCTAATTACCTCAATAATTCTTCTTTTTTAGATTGAGATCGATCATTGCCTGCACCCTTTCTGGAATAAGTACAAGTTAAGGTCAACATAGTGATCCTTCGATTTAACGTTGCTTTCAAGGATAGATGATGTAATAGCACAGCAAAATGCTAGTCTTCTGTAAAGAATTGTTAAAGCATGATCTAACCTGCAGGCTAAAATTTGGAAGAGATGAAGGGACTTGGTGGAGAGATTATATATGGCATCTTTAATATGATCCTTGCCAAATAGATATACTACAGGATATCCAAGAAGCCATCTTCATAGAAACAGAACAATACCTCAATTAATTACTTGAAACTCACGTGTTATAAAAAAAATCTAAATTAAATTAAGAATATGAGTCACCAACGGACAAAGAAAAAATCACAACTGAGCGGCATAGCAGTTTATCACAAACATAGGGAATAGGCAGTTAAAAGTGTTTACTTCTTTGTATGAAAAAATCTGCAGCATGACAATGATCAACACAACATCAATGTTATGGATAATAATGAGAGAAGACATGAAACTGTGTTAGGCTTTGTTTGCAACCACTTGTTCTTAAATAAAAGCACTTTTTGGGAAAAAGTGATTAGTAGTAAAAGTTGGTAGTGTTTGGTAAAATAACTGCTTTTTGTGTAATAGAAAAAGTAAAAAGTAGATTCTACACGAAAACCGAGAAAGTAAAAGTTGGTAGTGTTTGGTAAAATAAGTGTTTTTTTCTTGAAAAAAAGCCAAAATCACTTTTCTTAAGTGATTGCAAACAAGCCCTTACTCAGAGTTGGGTATGAAAGGGTTTTGGGCATAAATTTTATATTGCAATTTAATGGTCTAAAATCTGTTGAAAACCATAGCATAAGACTCAGATTAAGGATAGCCTGTACATAACACCTCATACAGGGCTATCATAAAACAGATTAATAAGAGAAATTCTAGGGAAAAGAGAGGTTACCCATTAAGTGTTGGCACAGTGACCCCAGTTTCTTCAATGTCCCTACTGAGATCAATAAGCTCAGATGTCTGTGAGCTATGTGGCCTATTATTAGCCATCAAATCTGAACTAGAATGTTCTGAATGATTACAACTTATTACCCCTTCAGAAAGGAGGGATGAAAATATTCTCTGTGCCATCACAAGTGCCATAATTCCAGGTCTCTCATCAGTGGCTCTTGTTATCATCTGAAGTAATTACATTTAGCAATTCTCAATGAAAAAAGTAAATAAGGATAAATAAATTATATTACAAGAGACACAAAGTGAACCTTTGGAGGATCATGCTCAAGATCTATAAAGAGAAATTCCATTTCTAGGTTCAAGCTCAATTTACTGAATTCATGAAATGCTTTAAGGTGAACCAGATAAATCATGTCTTCAATAATCATAACTCGCAGGTTCTCAAATGCAGAAGATTCCTGAAAATTGTAAAGGAAAACTTCAAACAATAGTACGAATACAGTTAAAAGGAAAACAGTTTTCAAATAATAGTAAGAAAACTTCAAATCGTTACAGGAAAACTTTAAACTATACGGTGTTGTATGAATACTTCAACTAAACTATTGAAATGTAATGATAAACTTGAAATAACCAACACCTTAAAAACAGTGGAAGTTTATGTCATGTTGTGGAGAAAACAAAAACAGAAAAGAATGTTCCTAAACATTACTAAATTTTCAAAAAACAACAGCTCAAAATTCTAAAAACAGCTGAAATTGTCGACTCGCAAGAAAACTCTAATGTCAACAATGTACAACATATCACAGCATTGGGTTAATCGAATTGATGAATAATTTCATTTAGTGCCTTCCTAAAGGTCTTAGGGAGTGTTTGCAAATGCTTTTGCTTTAAAAAAAGCACTTTTTGAAGTGATTTTGGAAAAAAGTGATTAGTAGTAAAAGTTGATAGTGTTTGAGAAAAAAGTGATTTTGAAAAGTAAAAGTTGTTGATGTTTGGTAAAATATGCGCTTTTTGTGCAATAGAAAAAGTAAAATACACTTTTCACCCAAAAGCCGAGAAGCGCTTTTTTAAGTAGAAAGTTGTCACTTGAAAACACTCGTTTTAGCTTTTTTAAGACAAAAGCCGAGAAGCGCTTTTTTTAAGCGTTTGCAAACACTCCTTAATATTTTTGCAGTGGCTACTTTAACATTCATATGCAGGACAATATTGATTCGTACATTAAAAGATAAAGAAAGGTTTTTTTTTGGGATATTGATTAAATCCAAAACAGGTTCAAGTTTAATAAAAATGAAGAGGGAACAGAAATGGACTTCTAAAGATAAGATACACAAACAGAGATCAGAGGCCAACATTTCTGCAATGTTTAAGGGAAGCACAAAGCCTGTGTTGAAGTTCTGGCATCCTTCCACCATAATCCACCATCACAACGGGTCGCATCTCAGAGCACAATGCCAAAATGTCTGACCAAATCATTTTCGATATTAGCTCACACGAAAATAAAAGTTCCCACCATATATAAATAAAGTTCTAAACCATATGAAATCAAAGAGTCATTCATTTAAAAGAGAGGAAATTTAAAAGCTTTGATAAGCAAAATTGAACCAACGAAACTGATCAGATGTGCAGGAATCGATTAGCTAATAAGAATAAAGAAACATTTAGTTGCTGCTTTGTCAGTAGAAATCATATTTATAAGGAAGCTAGAGAGAGATAATAAATACGTAGTAGATAGTATATAGATAGAAAGAACCAGTTTCTAGGCGACGCTTAGAAGAAAGCTTGAGGCGCCATTTGATCTGGGACAATGAGGATTCCAACACCCTCACTATTTCCTCCGCGTCCTCCATTTCCATTTCCAGTCTCCAGAAACTGTTTCTTTTGGGACAGAAACCCAGAAAGAAGGGGATTGGCGTTTAACAATTCAAAAAATTTATTGTACAAAAAAATTGTAGTACATTTGTATAACGTGGCATGTGAGATAGTCGCATAAATATGAATTAATAAATTATCTTTCTCCTTGTTTGAATGAATTAATACAATTTTGGTAAGTTTTTCTCTGCAATGTCACGAGACCGTCTAGATATAGACATTATGGTTGACATTGTCAAGAAAAAGTTATCAAAATTGTATAAAATCATTCAAATAAGACGAGTGATAAATTATTTAATAATATTTATGTGACTATTTCTCATGTCACATGTGCATCATGCACATTGTAGCATTGGAGATGCTCTTAATTGTCTTACAAGTAGCTTATTTAGAAAAAATTTAAAAATTATCTACAATTGTCTGCACAATTGTCTGTATAGGTAGTAATTTTATTCTTATTTACATAGCTAAAAAAGAAAGCGGAAAACCATTTTGGAACAATCAAAATATGAAATTTGCAAATCAAATTGAGACAATCAAATTAAATTTAGTTGAACAACAGAGGTGATGGAACCAACTAAAGGAACTCCGGGAAAAGACGGATGCTTAGGTCTCGGGTGGAAATCGGGGGGGGGGGGGGGGGTAATGGTGTTAGTTATTTTTGCACTATTTTGAGTGTCATTACAACATACTCCGTAGTATGGAAAAATTATATATTCTAAATAGGACTAAATAGAAATATAATTGCACAAATAGGACTAAAATCTAAACCTTTTACAAATAGGACTAAACATTAATTTTCTACCATTGATATGCCTAATTAACCTAATTAATCGATTCCCCACCAGTTCCATTGGGTAAGTGGTGCAGTCCGTTGGTGGCGGAACAATCCATTGATGGTGGGGCAGTACGGCAGCGATGGCGGAGCTCCTGTGAGTCTCCCGCACGTGAAAATGACTGACAAATTGTTCTAGAAGTTTTTGCTGGATTACAGCAGTGGCAGCCGGCAGGGCCTGCTGGGCGATGGCCGGTGGCTATGACCAGCGGCAGACGGTGGTGGCTGAGCATTCCAAATTATTATAGGGGGTATATTTGTCCTGACACAATGATTAGTTCTATTTAGACTATTTTAAACTATATAGTCATGTTTGTGATTGTTAATATATTTTACTCCTGTTTGGATAATTTCCTTATTAAAATATGGAGGGAAGGGTTTTTGCCATCCCAGAATACTATGCATTGGAGGTCTGTTTGTGCAGAAGATGATGACACATCATCCCTGAAGTCCCAACAGTCCAACACAAACTTTAATTACAAGCTGATAGATAGCGAGTCTTGTTAGTATATATGTCCTAGCGACAATCACTTTTAGAGATATATGTACTTGATGACATGCATTTTTATATATTTGATATATACGATATTACACATTAATGATTAAGTATTTCGATTGTCAATATCTTATTCACAAATGTGTTCTCTTGGACTTATGTTGTCAATAAGTAAGTGAGAGCTTATATGATATAACATAAGGTCCTAAAATAGTCCCAATCAATGATCATCAAGAAAGAGATATTGATGATATGCGATAAGAGTGGTATGTGGACTGCATCATACTTTTAGAAAGTATAGTTGATCTCACAACTATGAGTTCCTGTAATTCATGATGGTCACATAGATATTTTAGAAGATATTGGCATATCCACCGAGAAATCATTTGATAAGTTTTATTCATGTGTCTATGGGATTATCAGTGTATAGGGTAGTGTAATAGTCCTTTGACTTGAGGTCAATACGTACTACATGTGCGGAGTGATGTACTTTGACCATGACCAACGTTTGCACTCCAATCGGAGTAGATACGTCATGTATTGGGTGCATCACGAAGCACATGGAGTAGTAGTTGAGCCAATAAAGGATTCATTACTCGTAATAGATTAAGAGAGAACATTCTACTTCTCATATCTAGATGGATCATAAAGTCATTGGCCAATGCAAAGTCATTATGGATCATCTAGAAAGATTGAGAGACGGAAACTAAGTTATTGGAATAAACACAATATCATGTTCTAGACTTAGTTGAATGTTCGTTGAATGAAAGGACCGTATCACTATGAACTATATATTACAGGGAGTTTGAATAGTCCTCAACGACGTCTTTATATATTAAGTTTGTCTGGTAAATCGTCTAGGGATTCTAGTAAGACCTTGATTCGATTAGTGGTTAATATATAAGGTCATATGGGTCACACAACAGGTGATTATACCTTTCGATTGAATTGTTAGAAGGCATTAAATATTATTGATTGGATTAAATGATATTTAATTCATAATGCTGAAAATAAGATGAGTTAAATATTAATTAGATTAATATATTTAATTCATAATGTTGAAGGAGAATTCTATTTGATAGAATTAATGAAGGGTAATAAATTAGATTTATTATACTTAATTAAGATATATTTGTAATTAAATAAATTTGATTTTTCTTTTGTGATTTAGAATTACAAAGAAAAGAGAAATTATAACACATAATAATAATGAGTGAAAGTGGCGTCCCAGCCACTTCACTCTCAATGTTAGTTTGTTTTGTTTTCTTTATTTAATTAAATCATTAATAAGGAGTATTGGTCTTGGTAGGACTATAAGTTATTAATGAGGAAGACTTTAGTTAAGATTGGGAAACTAGTTTAGAACTAGTATAAATACACCCTCCTCCTTCATAATTTATAGACCGATTTTAGATTCAGTATTACTAGTTTATTTGCCTGCGAAGAGATTTTCTAGCCTTTCTCTATGAGAGATCTAACCGTTCTTTCGGAAAAGAGAAATCGTGTGGATACCTAAGGTCAAAGATTATCACCACTAGGCCGGAAGATCTGTAAGTTCTAACTCAGATCTGTTATTATTGTTATATTCGTTGTTTTGTCATAATTAGGGATGATCTGTTTGGGAAAAATTTAAACTTCCGATGACGTACTTACAAGGTATGTTACATCAATTTCCTAACAAGTCTATTGTCAAGTACCTTGTGATCTGATAACATCTAGTCATGGACCCGGGCCCGGCCGGGCTTTTTTTTTTGGGAAGGAAGGCCCGAGACCGGCCCGGGTAGCCACCGGGTCCGTGCCGGGCCTCCGGTTTGGTTAACTTTTTTTTTTTGTTTGTTTTTGCTTTCCCAGTCTCCAAGAGAGGAGGTACCTATCAAGTTGAACCAACAATGGATAGAAGTGTGAGATATAATGTCCTGATATAGATATTAATGAAGATTGGAGGATTTGGAGCTACTGACATGTTATTTGGTGCAACCCCACATCATCTTAAGTCTATAAGCTCCAAGTTAACCCGCATCCTGAACATGTCCCTCAATAAATTGATTGTTACATTATTTCATGTGAACACTTGGTATTTTGAAGTAGAGATGCCTCCTATGTCACTTGACTTAAACTTGAAGGATTGAATTCTAATCAAATCAGACCTCAGATTCTTCAAGAGAGGTAGAGTAACCATATGTCATATGTGCACAAAGAAAACCTCTTGACTTCTTTCGCACCATAATCTAAAACAACATAAAGTAATATTCACTATTTACTTAAAAACTAACCAAATTACTAATCATAGTAAAAGCATCATGACCACTGCAGCAGCTTAATGCTACCTTTCAAAAAGAAAAGGATAAATGAACAACTAAAAAATCATTATAAATGATGAGATTTTTTTTGTTAAATTTAACAAAATTTAAGAAGAAAAATATGGTTACCCGTGCTTATAGAAAGTACTTTTGGTAAGCTTACAAGTATACGAAAACATGTTATCTATCATCATAGGATAGAATGATAGATATAACAAAAATAATAACATAACATCAAGGCTCCAGAGTAAATCTACTTATCTATGTTCTACTTTTAATATTGATCTAATGATAGTTGTTGGCAAAACCATATTACAAAATGAGCCTAATATTATTACAACAAAAATTAAAAGAGCCTTGAAAATTAGATCAGGTGACCTTGCTCATAAGGTCTCCAATGTAATGTGATTGCTTCTTTGTTGAACGTTCACCGTGATGATTCTTTGTGCCTTTCTAGGTATATGTTGTTTCAGAACATATACCTATTCATTTTATGTTATCAATTAATCAAATTATTTCAAATTAAAGAATAGAGATTCATGGATATGATTGTATTATAAGCAATTGTGAAGGTTACATGAAAACACTTATGGTGTGCATAAGTGCATTGATTATCCACTTTTTTAATAGTATGTTAAAGATATGTTAAAAAAAGGCTCACAAGTTAAAACCATTTCAGTTTCACATAAAATTAGAAAAAAATTGATGACATTCATATCATCAAGCAGAAAATCACACTTCTAATTTGCTCCCAATCAAGCTGATGTACATTCATATCTCTCGTGCTTTCTCTCTCAAAATCACACAGAAAAACAAACCCTACCGGCAAACATTCCTTTTTGTTTGCTTTATGTTGGATCAGTCTGGGACCCATCCAATTCGGAGCTCTTTCGGCCCATGTTCAATCCGAACCAATCTACTTATCTTGTTATTCTCCTTTTTTATTTCATTTTAGCCTAAGGGCACCTTTTGTTTGTAGCCGATGGGCGTTTTTCTTTTTATTAATAAAAGTTTCTTTTCGGTAAAAAAAAAAGTTAATTAGGATTGGGTTGTGATTAATTATCAATCTTCAAGTTTGTGATGTTGTTTGGTCTGACTCATAGTTATTTAAGTTTTGATTCTCACAAAAATGCTAAAATGGATAATGTTAAAAAGGTCAAATTAGAGAGCATGTTTCTCACCTTAACAAAAGGTTTAGATGATGAAATGAATGTTTAGAATCCGCTACAACCCAGATCCCACCTTCGTTTGTAAATAGTTTTCAAAAAAAGCAGCATAACATGTAAGTAATAAGTAACTTATTCCTTTCCTATGTTAGATCCTAAGTCTAAGGATGTTTTTACTTGGACTCTAATTTGTCCCAGACCAGATCAGACCAGTCCAGACCTGACCAGACCAGACCAGACCAGTCCAGACCAGACCAGACCAGACTTGGATAGTTATAAAAATACAAAGAAACCAGACCTTACCGGACCAGACTAGTTCAGACCAGACCAGACCAGCAAATTACATTCCAAGTAAAAATATCCTAAACCTTCTTTTGTGTAATGTAGCTAGCCCAGAAATAAAGAAGAAGAAAAGAGGCAACTTAGAGTCTTAGAGCAGTGTTTTTCAGGAGAGGGTGGTTCACCTTCTCTGATCTTGCCAACTATTATCCATTTTCAACAGCACAACACTTTCACCATTCATGTTAATAAATGTCTTTTCCAAATGAACTTTCTCATTTTATTAGAAAACTGAATCTATTAAAAGAATGTAGTTTAGTAAATATACTAAATAAAATCTTAAGTACAAAAGATAACATAAATATCGATACACTGGAAGGAAGTTAACTATCATTGTTATGTGATATTCTGCTCTCTCACTCCTCTCAATAAAAAGATATTAAAAGGATATCATTTATAAAAGGGATGATTGGGATAAGGGTCAAATAGGGCCTCAAACTTGGAAAAAAATGTCAAATAAGGCCATATTTAGGATGCTATGTCCGACTGATGCCATTTGGGACAGTTCCCGGTAGAGTTTTTTGATGAAATTTTTTGAGAATCTTATTCATTAAGTCTAGTTTACTCATATCAAATTTGAACTAACAATTCAATCGGGAAGGCATTCAAATGAATTCTTGAAGATAACTGCGCTTTTAACTGCACAGTTATCTTCAATAATTCATTTGAATGCCTTCCCGATTGAAGTTTTAGTTCAAATTTGATATGAGTAAACTAGACTTAATGAATAAGATTCTAAAAAAAAATCATCAAAAATTCCACCGGGAACTGACCCAAATGGCGTCGGCCGGACAGAGCATCCTAAATATGGCCTTATTTGACATTTTTTTTCAAGTTCGAGGCTCTATCTGACCCTTATCCCTTTTTAAAATATATTGGTTTGAAATCCATTCTAAAAAGAAATGTTTTTACTTAAATTGGGACCAAGCTTTCTATATAGTTGAACTAATAGTAAAAATATATCAATAAAATGTTAAATGACATCCAGTGATCCAGAAACAGAAGAGAGTTATAAATACATTGAGAATTAAGTTAGATGTAAGAGAGACATTGACGTGCACTTTGTCGTGAGTGCACTCAAAATAAATTCAATACTAGCACTAATAGGTAGTATAGCGTAGTAGAGTTCGTATCCACAGGGAAAAGAATAACTCTTTGTTGAGTTTAATCCAACACGATATAGTAAATATATGTATAAATGTGTATGAACAAACTATTTTTTCGTGGAAACCCGAAAGGGAGAAAACCACGGGACTTTTTAGGCTAATGTCCAAGCCCTCTCATTCTCATTAATCTCTCCTCACCATTACATAGTACAATTTGAGCTCCATTAATGGAGTTTTGCAAAACTATTCTAGGGAGAAGAAGAAAGAAGGAAGGGATCCTTTTACATGGAGGGAAACCTCCTATTTATAGGGAATAGGGGGAAAGGAGGCCCTCCACCCTAACGGGCCGAATGGGCCAAAATGGGCCCAAAGGCCGAAACAGGCCTGATAGGCTAAAATGGGCCTTACTGATTGGGCTCCGTACGACGTAAAGTCTTGGGCTCCTGAACAGTAATAGGCCGGGATAATATATCCCAACACAAGTCCCCCAGTTTCTTGAGTAGTGAGCGTGCGAATCTGCTCGAGAAAATATACTCTTGCCTGGGCTTTACCTCGGTCTAGCTGGAACCTGTGTCCTTGAATAATCATAATATATGAGTGGATGTCCACACTCCTGAACGTAATCTGCCGGTGAGGCACCCCCGTTCCCGACGGGGTCGGGCGAAGGGTGCTCCTCCACGGGCACTCTCCCCTTGAATGCATCAGGCGAGAGTAAAAGACTCTGACTCAAGCTTTCCAACGGAGAAGCTTAGAGGTCCATGCATCTATAAACCGACGTCGCGGTACTGTCAAAACATGATGCACGTGTGTATGTATGAATGTATGAGGTATGATGCATGAATGCATGTAATGTATGGGTGCAATGTATGAGAGAGGGAATGCAAGATGTGATAGGAGCGGTAGATCTCAACGAGAACTCGAGCATGTCAGCGCCGAGAGGCAGACGTGCTGCACAAGACGGGTCCCCCATCCGGGATGGCATGGGCGGAGCCGAAGATGGACTAGACATGATGCCGCCGAGGGGCCAATTATGCTGCATAAGAGACGTTCGCCGCCATCCTGGAAGGGATGGGCGACCCTAACGTGAGCCAGACACGATGGCGCTGGGGCGCTGATCGTGCTGCATAAGAGACGTTCGTCGCCATCCTGGAAGGGATTGGCAACCCCAACGTGAGCCAGACACGATGGCGCTGGGGCGCTGATCGTGCTGCATAAGAGACGTTCGTCGCCATCCTGGAAGGGATGGGCGACCCTAACGTGAGCCAGACACGATGGCGCTGGGGCGCTGATCTTGCTGCATAAGAGACGTTCGTCGCCATCCTGGAAGGGATGGGCGACCCTAACGGGAGCCAGACACGATGGCGCTGGGGCGCTGATCGTGCTGCATAAGAGACGTTCGTCACCATCCTGGAAGGGATGGGCGACCCTAACGTGAGCCAGACACGATGGCGCTGGGGTGCTGATCGTGCTGCATAAGAGACGTTCGTCGCCATCCTGGAAGGGATGGGCGACCCTAACGTGAGCCAGTCATGATGGCGCTGGGGCGCTGATCGTGCTGCATAAGAGACGTTCGTCGCCATCCTGGAAGGGATGGGCGACCCTAACGTGAGCCAGACACGATGGCGCTGGGGCGCTGATCGTGCTGCATAAGAGACGTTCGTCGCCATCCTGGAAGGGATGGGCGACCCTAACGTGAGCCAGACACGATGGCGCTGGGGCGCTGATCGTGCTGCATAAGAGACGTTCGTCGCCATCCTGGAAGGGATGGGCGACCCTAACATGAGCCAGACACGATGGCGCTGGGGGCGCTGATCGTGCTGCATAAGAGACGTTCGTCGCCATCCTGGAAGGGATGGGCGACCCTAACGTGAGCCAGACACGATGGCACTGGGGCGCTGATCGTGCTGCATAAGAGACGTTCGTCGCCATCCTGGAAGGGATGGGCGAGCCGAACCGTGAATCTGGACACGATGGCGCTGAGGGGCCGATCGTGATGCATAAGACGTTCGTCGCCACCCTGGAAGGGATGGACGAGCTAAACGTGAGCTGGGCGCGATGGCGCTGAGGGGCCGATCGTACTGCATAAGACGGTCGTCGCCATCCTGTAGGGAATGGACGAGCCAAACCGTGAATCTGGACACGATGGCGCTGAGGGGCCGATCGTGATGCATAAGACGTTCGTCGCCACCCTGGAAGGGATGGACGAGCTAAACGTGAGCTGGGCACGATGGCGCTGAGGGGCCGATCGTACTGCATAAGACGGTCGTCGCCATCCTGGAAGAAAAAAGGGCGAGCCGAACCGTGAGTCTGGACACGATGGCGCTGAGGGGCCGATCGTGATATAGAAAAATAGTGATGATCATCTCATGGCCCTCGTCCTGTCGGTGAGTGGTAATCGTCTCACGGCCCTCGGCCGTGCTGGTGATGTGAAGTCTCTATCCTGATTGGCTGTGAGAAGCCGATCGTCTGCCAGGACTCCATCCGGGAAGGAATGGTGAGCCTGAAATAAAGCTGGGCGATGTCCCTCCTATCTGATCTGAGGAGCTGATCGTCGTTCGTCTACCGTATCTGTGGTCCTATGTACGGACCGCTAAGCGGTGTACACTCGGCACGCAACAGACTCCGGTGGAGAACTGGTTCTTCGTGTCTGATCCATGGAGCTGGGTACGATGGCGCTGAGGGGCCGATCGTACTGCATAAGACGGTCGTCGCCATCCTGGAGGGAATGGGCGAGCCGAACCGTGAAATCTAGGCGCGGTCCGTCTTGGCTGGCTATGAGAAGCCGATCGTCTGTCAGGACTTCATCCTGGGAGGAAGGGTGGACCTGTGCGTCGTCCCTCTGTCTGATATGGGGAGCTGGTATTCGTCGTCCAAGGCAAAAGAAAGTCTGGTGTTAGCCGATCGTCGTCGGCCACTTCATTCTTCGTACTTAAGTTTTGTAATTATTCTTTACATATGTTTTTCGGTTTGTACTTCCCGGCCAATAGCGCCAAGGGATAAAATCATTCTTTGCTCCGTGCTCTTCTGGCATCTCTCTCTCTTTTTTTTTGGAGTCTTTTAGTCTTCGTTCGTCCTTGGTTCTTGGTCCTACCAGCGTCCTTACTTCGAAGAGACGTCCGGTATCCTCGAAACTCGCAAGGAGGAACAAGTTTATCTACATCGAGATTCCCCCTTTTTTTGTTCGTCCGTGGTCCTTTTAGTCTTACCGGCGTCTCTTGCTTCGAAGAAGACGTTCGGTACCCAAGGAACTCGCAGGGACGAACTGGTTTACCCTCACGGGTTCCCGACTTTGTTATCTCACGTCCATCGATCCATGGTCATTGTGGGATAAACAGGTTTATCTTGGCAAAGCTCCCTTGGTTCGTCTAGCCCCCTCCGCGTCTCTACTAACCTCTACATCGAGAGGCGTTCGTCTTCGGCGGTGGGAGAAGATCTGGCACGCCCGGGCAAGATTCCCTTCCACATAGGAGCTACCCTCCTCTTCTCCCCATCTTTTTTTTTTGTTTGAGGGAGGAAATCTATATTCTTCGTTCGTCCTTGGTTCTTGGTCCTACCGACACTCTTGCTTCGAAGAGACGTGCGGTATCCGCGAAACTCGCAAGGAGGAACAGGTTTATCTACATCGAGATTCCCTAGCTCTTCTTTGTCCGTCCCTGGTCCGTGGTCCTACCGATCTTCCTACATCGAAAAAGACATTCGGTATCCAAGAAACTCGCAGGGATCATGGGATGTCACACATAATGGTGGTGGCATAGCGAACGAATATAATGACGAGGCGATAGAATAGCTGGTCGTCATGCGGAGGCGATGGTCACCCTCCTGGAGGGGAGTCGTGAGCCCGATCGCAAACTCAAGAGGGTCGGCATTGGGAGCCGACAAACAATGATCATAACGTCGCTGAGCAGTCGGTCCTGACGAGGAGATGACAATAGTGTCCGGTCAGGCCGATATATCTGTGCAACGGCTCTCATCCAACGCATCGCGGGGATGGAACCGGTCTTCAAAAGTTAAGTATGTCGTGCCGAGAGGCCGAACATGATGTGATAGTGTCGGCAATGAGGGGCCGACCTGAAAGAATCAAGCAACGGCCCTCATCCGCGAGGAGCGGGGATGAGGCCGGTCTTCAAATATGGAAAGCACGCCGAGCCGGGAGGCCGGTCGTGATATAATGGTGTCGGCAATGATAGGCTGACCTGAAAGAACCAAGCAACGGTCCTCGTCCGCGAGGTGTGGGGACGAGGCCGGTCTTCAAAAGATGAACACGCCGAGCCGAGGGGCCGGTCGTGGTATGATAATGTCGGCCATGAGATGCCGATCAAGATATGGTCAAGCAACGGCCCTTGTCCGCGAGGTGGCGGGGACGAGGCCGGTCTTCGAATATGATAATCACGCCGGTCTGAGAGGCCGGTCGTGATGTAATGATGCCAGCAATGAGAGGCCGACCAAGATCAAGCAACGGTCCTCATCCGCGCAGCGCGGGGGCGAGGCCGGTCTTCAAAAGATAAACACGCCGTGCCGAGAGGCCGGTCATGATGTAATGATGGCGTCAGACGGCCCTCGCCCCTGACGATCTCTTCTAGGCCCTCGGCCTCTGAATGACGGGTGATCGTCTCACGGTTCTCTGTCATGGCATTCGCCTCTAGACCCTCGGCCTCTAGGTGTTCTTCCTAGGCCATTGGTCTCTGGGGTGGAGATGCTCATCCCACGGTTCTCAACCGTGGTGGTCTCCTCTAGGCCCTCGACCTCTGGGTGGAGATGCTCGTCCATCGGCTCTCAGCCGTGATGGTCTCCACTTTAGCTGGCCCTGAACGCCTTTGATACTTAAGCCGAGCGTCTTTTAATCATTTCGCTCGATCACGTCGAGCGGCTTCAGCTGCGCAATAAGCATGGTAACGGGCCACACGGCCCGACATTATGTATACACACATAACCATCTGCATGGCTTTCTTTCTAACACCCACGATTACCGGCCTATGGGTTATCGTGACCCTCGGCCCAGCTCATCGTGCGGTGTTAATGGACGTAGCAGCTCGCGGCGGGGCCGATTGGCAGCCCGCGGAACGTCACATAGAGATTTTCATCGGTCCGTGAGTTTTCAAACTCAGACCCAAGTTGGTCGCACTGCCCTCAGAAAAAGGAGGTTGGGTGCTTTGGTGCCTTCGGGCCCCACAGGCCACGTTTGGCAATAGTCATTTCGCGCCTAATGGCGTAAATGATACTGGGGTACGATCGTCGATCGGGCACGTAGTGCCGTGCGGACTAATGCGTCGTCGTCGGGGTGTCGCCCTACTGAAGACACTCGGATCGCTTAATCGAGCTGATCGAGAGTGGGCCAACAGGCCCGCAAAAAATTAAATATTCAATAAAATGTTGGCTGAACCAACCATTACTAGAGCTTCGCTCCACATTATTTAATTCGGGACACTTTTATCCCTAATAAATAATAGTGATGTACGGGTATTAATAATAGTATTATCCTACCATAGGTCATTCAGGTATGCTCCGCTTGCTAATTAAAGCCGATCAGGAGCGGGCTGACGGGCCCATAACAACCAATCATTAGTTAAAATGACGGTAAAAAACTAATTATCACAAGAGCGTCGCTCAGCACTATTTAATTTCGGGATATTTTAGTCCCTAATGAATAATGGTGATAAAAGTTCCAACAAAACAATATCATTATCCTAATTAGTACTCTAATTAATAAATGATGAGGATTTAAGTGACACTTAGCTCCTGATGGGATGGACTTCATAGCTCGTTGAAAAAAGGCCACCAAAGACTCCATTTGGAGAAGGAAGGATCCGGCTGGTTGCTTTATTCTAAGAGCCGTGCGTCCATCTAGCATTCAACGATTTTGACTTGGGTCAAAATTCCTCCAAGGAAATTGATTGCCCACCTTTTGGCCTAATCTTGCAGACGTGGTCTGCTTAGGACCAAGTGAAACTGACCTGCGTAACACTCCATATCTTTGGGAAGATAGCTGTAACGCGTCCGCTGACCCGAGGCCGAACGGCATGAACTGGCCACCTGCCGACGGCGGTAAGGGCGGTTGCCGCGGCGTTAGGGCAGCGACGGCGGCCGGCCTTGGTTGGGGCCGACGGAGCTTCACAACGTATCTCCCCTGAGCTTCAAATCGCCATTAATGGCGGAGATTCTTCCAGGTCGCGTCAGCAACGAGGTGGATGAGCGACAAACAGCTGGCTGCTGAGGATGAACGGTGGTGAGTGGCTCGGAGGAGGCCGTCAGACACAGCTGGGATGTTGCAGCGAGCTTCCTCCGGTGTCGCAGCACTCGTAGGAGGTTCCATGCCGGCGAGGGCGGTGACGGCGGCTCCGGCGACCTCAAGGGCAGATCTGGAAAAAATCCAGATTTGGACCTCCCAGATTTCATAGCTTCTCCACTTCTTCCGCTTCCTTCTTTCTTTCCAGAATCGTATTTTTTCCTTATTCTTTTGCTGAAAACAGTAGCTTTTCGTATGAATTTTTCCCGTAGAAACTCAAGAACAGTAGAATACATGAATCTTTTTGGACAGTTTCCCACAGACGGCGCCAGTGTTGAGTTTAATCTAACACGATATAGTAAATATATGTATAAATGTGTATGAACAAACCATTTTTTCGTGGAAACCCGAAATGGAGAAAACCACGGGACTTTTTAGGCTAATGTCCAAGCCCTCTCATTCTCATTAATCTCTCCTCACCATTACATAGTACAATTTGAGCTCCATTAATGGAGTCTTGCAAAACTATTCTAGGGAGAAGAAGAAAGAAGGAAGGGATCCTTTTACATGGAGGGAAACCTCCTATTTATAGGGAATAGGGGGAAAGGAGGCTCTCCACCCTAACGGGCCGAATGGGCCAAAATGGGCCCAAAGGCCGAAACAGGCCTGATAGGCCTTACTGATTGGGCTCCGTACTACGTAAAGTCTTGGGCTCCTGAACAGTAATAGGCCGGGATAATATATCCCAACACTCTTCTTTTTATGTAACTAGTAAATAAAGGGTGGGTTTTGATCGAGTGATTTGATTAAAATTAAACACGAAGATGAACGAGTTATGTGGTTTAATTCAAAGATAAAAGGGACTTGGCATTGATACTTTCCACTTGTTGATATATTTTAGTCGATCATTGTTATATCTATAACTTATCTCCTCTCGAATACTCAATCGAGGAGTATATCCAATTCATCGAGGATAGTTATTAACAACGACCGTTCATTAATAACCCTTACTATTAGTCAAGTATAGAACAACGCCATATACCGACTTGATAGTAGCATTTAATCTTTTAACTCCTTGATGAAATCAATTGAGATTGATAACCTCAACACAACGGTTTCGGTTTAACCAACAAAATTAATCCCTCTTAAGTTTATTAACCACGACCGTGCATTAATAAACCGAAGTTACTTGTGAAACTATCAACGATTAACCATCGGTTCGTTGATCGTTTCTAGTAATGATTAATATATGAAACAAAACTAGTTGATCCTTTAAGTAATGTTCAAAAATATTAATATGAAATATGAATAGGAATTAATTAATACTCAAGGAAGAATACTAAAGAAAATGAATCCTACTATAGTTAATATCAAGATGTTAACTAATTGTCATCTTAGTAACACTCCCCAATATTAACATAGAGGAAGGAATAGCTATTACTCAGACCAATGTCAAGATGTTAACTAATTGTCATCTTAGTAACACTCCCCAACATTGATATAGAAATAGTATTTAAAGGAAGAATTAATATTCAAGGAAAGAAGTTAAGAAAATAACTCACAACTTTAATAATCAACAAGCTTCAAGAGCAACACCAAGAAATGGAAGTTTAGCTCCTCATTTGGAGACTAAACATGCTATAAAAATATAAAAGAAATACTATTCTAAATTGAGCTTAAGAGTATGGAAGAATTGGTATCTATTGTGAAGGAAAGGGGGTGTATTTATAGGCTTTTTGGGAGTGCAGCTCGGGTACTCGATCGAGTATATACAGATACTCGATCGATTTTGGCTTAAAAATCAAAGGCGCACTCGATCGAGTATATGTTCATACTCGGTCGAGTATGTGTAGAAAGTGATATTCGAGCCATACTCGACCGATTTCGGGTTTAAACTCAAAGGCATACTCGATCGGGTATGTCGGTCTACCCGATCGAGTATAGACACTGAATCGTGGACAAAATCTTCCCGGCATGTTCCTTTGTCTTCGGATCCGATCTAATTTGAAATTTCAACCTTATACCCGATCGAGTATAGGTGATACTCGACCGAGTATAGGCAAAAATCAGGATTTTCCCCTTTTGTCTTGTGATTTGCACCTTCTTTCCACTTTTGGGGTTCACTAACCATCCTTTGAGTGATAGTAGACCTGTTTGAGCTCAGAATAATTCTAATCTAAACAACTTACAAGAATTTAACAAACTATACTATTACACCAAAAGTGTGTAATTTCCGAAATATTAAACAACCAAAACTAGCTAAAAACATAAACATACACACGGAAATTACAAGCGTATCAGACATTACTAAATATGAGTTATAAATAATACTTGACGCTAATCCGTCATACTTTGCACAGAAGCTTATAAAGACTTTAGTATAAGTAGTTGACAGCCAAATTTAAAATGAATCAACGGTACAAAGCAGAAGTCGTATGCACTTTGTGGGGGAAAAAAGCCTAAAAAGGTCAAACCCTACTTACAGATAACAAACATATTTTTCTGGAGTAGTTTTCAATTCATATGACTTTAAAAGTTCTGATCTCCTATGTTTATGGATAACATAGTATAGAGGTGCATAGTTGAAAAGCTTTTCACATTTAGCATTACCAGTTTCATGTCTTGTTTAACCTCATTTAAAACTAAAATCATCTCGGACTATCAAATCCTAACTAAAGAGAATGTAAGGTTAAAAAATGATCACGTTGCCAAAAAGGAAAAGAAAACCAAAGTATTGTAACTACATAGATATCAAGAGAAAACAAAAGAAAAGGTCATTATAGAAAAACAGAACCAAACTGAATATGGAATCAAAGAAGAAAATTGCTGATTTTTCCTTTTAACCTTCATTTGGAACCACCAAATGCGCCTCTTTGTGAATTGCTTGACATCACGGTTGGGGGTTGCATGGTGTAGGCAGGTTCTCGGGTGCGGCTGAAGAAGAGGAGAGATGGAGGCAGCTTAAGTATTGGAAGAATGAAAAACACATGTCAAGGAGGAGAGCCGAGAACTTCTGAAACCTAAAGAAAAAGAAAAAGATGAGAAAACGGAGGAGTAGCAGGGGCCGATTAAGGGATAAGTGATTCCGGAGGAATTTACTTAAATGACCTAAAGTTTAGGAGGGAGACTCACTTAGTTGAGTTAATAATATATAGATATACAGTTCGTATACCATACGACCGTCCCACCATGAGCATCATGCTCCCACTCCCAAAACGACGTAGTTTTGGACAATTTAAAAAAAAAATCGCGTGAACAGTACGCGTGTACAGTGACTTTTTTTTTGTCCCAGTAACATGAATGGTGTAACTCGCGTGTAAAGATATGTAACTCACATTATTGATCAATGTAACTCCAGCCCATCCAAAATGTAATTTGTCAAATATTGATTTCAATGTAAACAATGAAAAAAGAGTCTAATTGCACAATTGATTTAGGTAAAACATGAATATGTTTTGTTTTTAATATCTTTCATCAAAAATAATTTTTTAAAAAAGTTCATTTTTTTATTCAATAGCAGGGGTTGATTTTTTTATGTAATTCGTGTTATTACCAATGTGACTCGCGTTGATGGCCAATGTAACTTATGTGTATATAGAATGTAACTTGTTGGAAAATTGAACAATGATTATTTTGTTTGTTTGAGATATTATAAACATTGATTTCAATGTAAGCAATGAAAAATTGATCCTAATAGCTTAATTACTTTTTTAAATAGTGAATGTGTTTTATTTTTAATATTAGGGCAATAAAAATGATATAGCAGGGGTTTATTCCGTGGTGTAACTTGCATACATTAAGATGTAACTCGTGTACATTAAGATGTAACTTGCGCAGAAGAAGATGTAACTTCATGATATATTATCAAATGTAACTTCAAGAATCAAAATAAACAAACTCAATGTCTTAAAACCCTCTAAAAACATATAAAAGTGATAAAAAGTATTTCTCAGAATATAAAAACAGAGATAAGTAAACAAATATTTCTCAGAATAAAAAAAAGTGTATGAATAAGTACTAAGACAGAAACAAAAAGTAACTAATTTATTTTGAAAGGATGAATATTTGATCACAAAATTGTAATACACACATTTCAATGTTCCTAAATTAAAAAATTGATAGCTTTTGATAATGGAAACATTAAAAGTAAAAAAACGAAAAAGATAAAAAGAAAGAGGGTGGGGGAGTGGGAGTGTTCAACTGGATGGGAAAAGCTTTTGGATAAAGACAAAAAAAATAGAAAACGAACCATGTGAGTGGGGAATGCAATTGAGCGAGATTTATTTAGAAAACGGTACTGTATTTAGACCGGTATATCATGTGCATGGTATAATTTGCGATATAGATTAGTATTCTTAGACTCACTTCGTATTCAACACTAAAACTATTAAATCAACTAACCGTAAGAAACTGAAATTAAATCCCGTGAAACAAAATTAGGTAGGATTCGGTGTACTAACGTTGTTGAAAAGTTTAAGCAAAGAAAATATGCTCATAGAAAAAATAAAACATAAACTAACAAAACTAACCAACCTAGAGGAGAGCCCCTCCAGCGGTCTTTATAGCAGAACGAACCAAAACTATATGAGTTTTACAAAAAAAAAACAATGTTCCCACATAATATCATATTCTACCAACCATACTCATCCAAAATGCCATATAATTCGAAGACACACAAATAACATCCAATACAATTACTATAAAATGTCCGTAGTTTTCCAGAAAATGATGCCCAGTGTTCTCACAAGTCACAACATCATGGATGATGGATTTTGATCATAGTATACCTACAAGTTGAATAAAAAATAAGCACAATTAAAATATACTAGTATAAAGCAAGGCACATGTAGAAAAAGTAGAAGCACAAGTAAAACTAAAAATATAGTTAAAACTTATCACCATCATGTATGAATATACACCCGCATATACAACAACAACTATATGTTTAATGACTCTAATCTAATACTACCTCCGTCCCTTTTTATTTATCCATCTTTGACTTTTCCAGTCAAATAAATTTTGATTCATTATTTTAACTAATATATTGAGGGCTGATCCTGTCCAGCCGGAGGGACAGGACCCGCCGTCCGGCCGTCGCCATTTGGGGCCCTTCCCGGTGGAATTTTTTGCTCAAATTTTTTGAGCATGTTCTTGATGAAGTCTAGTTTATCCGTACCAAATTTCAGCTAAAAATTCAATCGGGAAGGCAGTCAAATGATTTTTGGAAGTTAACTGCGCAGTTTATATACATATAAAACGCAGTTATCTTCAAAAAATTATTTGAGTGCCTTCCCGGTTGAATTTTTAGCTGAAATTTGGTATGGATAAACTAGACTTGATGAGGAATATGCTCAAACAATTTCATCAAAAAATTCCACCGGGAAGGGCCTCTGATGGCCTTGGCCCGACGGTTCCTCCCGTCTTTCCGGAGGGACCTGATCTTTTTTGCTAATATATTTATGTGAAACTTAATAAACTTATACTTTTATGATAGTATTTTTTAATAAAGAATATTTTCATATAATTTTTATTCTATCGATATTACCGTGTATAAATATATAATCAGTCAAAATGAATAATTTTGACTTGAAAATTAGTGTTTGGCTAAATTGTCATGCCTATTTACAGTGGAAACTGACCAAAGTCAAGTTTAATTGCAACAGATAGAAAAGAAAAACAAGGAAACAAAAACCAGATATAATACCCTTATTATTTCTGGCTCTTCTTTCTCCAGAGCTCGCCGAACATTTTGATGCCAGCTCTTCTTTAGCCTGCTTCAAATGGAGAGTAGTTTCTTTTTTTCTTAAGTGGAGAGTAGTTTCTTATTCCTTTACCTTGGCTGATGATGCCTCCATAGCCTTTTCGTTCATTCTTTGCTTCAGGTTCTAGTTTTCTCTGTAGACGTTTGCAAGTTCTTTTTCCTTCTCTTCCAGTTTGGCCCTTAACAAGCTTACTTCATCGTATTCTTCCGAGCTATCATTTAAAACCACACTTGCAGGGTATGTTTTCTTTTCATTGTCAGGGAAGTCTTGCTTGGGAAAAGCTGGTTTCATTGTTCTCTTCACTTTCTCCTGCACCAAAAGATCTAAGAGTCTTCAATTCCAGTCTTTTGTTGTTTCTAATTAAAAGATATAAATTTACTGAACACAATTAGCAAAAGAAGCACTAAAGAAAAGAACTCTGTAGTAAAAGAATAAAAGTATCAATAGAGGCACCAAAACCAAACAAGTTCATCAGACTTCACACCAACAATATGTGCATCTTTCTTTAGAGTCTCTCCCAACTGTGACTTAATGCCAAAGATAAGCATACGTTCCTTTACCACTCTGGGGTGACAAAACCACATCTCCAACTGCCAATTAGTCAACCCTAACATCTCTTATAGCTCTACTCGAATTGCTTCAGCTCTAATGAACTAGAAATAAAAGTTTAATACATAGCAAGCTCACGAGCTCCTTCACACTTTACACACAGCACACACGAAAACCACTTTTCTATATACACGAAATTCAATTTTATAGATGGCGAATATTTTTTAGGAGATATTGATAATGGGGAACCAATACTTGCCACGCCAGTAAATAATCACCCAAAGTAGGAAAATATGGTTCCATAAACTCTATTATTAAGATTCATTATCCTAAGTGGTTGAGAATCTTGATGAAGAGAAGCACAATTTCTTATTTAAACTTCATATCTATTATTGCACCTTTAAAGACACCATTTATGAGTCTTAGGTTTTTACCTCAAATATAAAGACACTTTTGAACTCAAATTCAACACCTTCATCTAAATCATGTTGTGAGCTCTTTCAAGAGATCAAATTCTTAAAAAGTCTCTAACAAGGATTGAAAAGGGTAATGTTTTTTTACCATCGGTTTTTCATCCATGTGGACCATGTGTATTCGTATAATTGTATTCTCAGAGTAATAGACTAATAGCTTCATTACTTCATATGTGCCCAAGTCAATTAAAAGTCACTATGATGACTAATAACTTTTATTTGTTCTTTACTAAGAGTTGTATGATATTTTCTAATGATTACAATAATACTCATATAAGCATTTACAACATTTGATAAATAGATAATGCATACCATGCAACGCACGGGTGAAAATCTAGTAGTAAGCGACAAGAACACCATTAATTAAAAAAAATTACTTTTTTATTAATAATTGATGGTCCCTGATAGAGGTAAAAGTCTAGGGGGGGGGGGGGGTGAATAGACTTTTAAAGATCTTTGCTATTTTTATAGAGTTTCCCTCATAGGTATGATGATCTAAAATCTTTTGAGAGATTTAGGATCGCAGCGGAAGTTGTGACCTCTTTTTGACTGTGAATGGTAACTTTCTTATGAGAGGATAAGAGGGAAGGGGTATTTGTATTTAGGACAACTTATCTTTAGTGACTGAAGTGTATAGGAGAATGGAGACTCTGCTTTGAAGATCTTTCAGTGAGATCCTCTGATGACCTTGAATCAGAGACCCTTGAGTGAGGTCCTCTGGTAACCTTGAGTCAGAGACCCTTAAGTGAGGTCCTCTGATGATTTAGAGTCAGAGACCCTTGTATGAGGTCCTCTGATGAACTTGAATCAGAGACCCTTGAGTGAGGTACTCTGATGATCTTGAGTCAGAGACTCTTGTGTGAGGTCCTCTGATGATCTCGAGTCAGAGACTCTTGTGTGAGGTCCTCTGATGATCTTGGATCAGAGTAAATAAGATTGACACGAGATGTATCCTGGTTCAGAGGTGGTGTAATCCTCCTACATCCAGTCCCATCCTCTTTCAGATGGATTTCCACTAAAGCATTCAGCCCAATACAATTAGTGACCGTCTGGCTGTTATCACCAACTTGCTCAGACTTCAAGATGTTTCACTGAGAGTACACACCACTCCTAGCTACTCAATCCTTTAGGTTTTTCTCAATTGATCCAGTGGGGATCAAAAGGTACTCTATCCTATTCTACCACACTTAAGGACTTAGATGAAGCTATCCTTATAAGTGTTTACAACAGTTTCAATATGAAACAAATTTCTAGCCTCCAACTAAAAACTAAACTTTCTGAGTGTATCAATGAGGATTTCTGTTCTAGAAGGTTTAGTGAAGCATGAGTCTAAGTAGAGAGCAGAGTTTAATGAACACTTTCTCTTTTGCTGGATATCTTCTTTGTGTAGTATGATTTCTCTGCTTAGTAAACTCAGGAGCTTGTTTTTCTTCTCATGCTTATGCCCGAATTTATAGGCATCTCTGGTTGATTAATTTCCTCCGTTGGTTAAGAGGATTTAATCTATGTCGTTGAGGCTTTTTGTACTTTCGTCTTCTTGTGTTGGAGCAGCTTATCTTCAGACGCAATTGGAGCAACTTGCTTTGCAGGAAATGTAAACCCATTCCTTGGTTCTTTTACGCACTATTCACCATCTAGTGGGATTTTGTCTTCACAGGCAACTCTGGAGTGTCTCGTGATTATACAGCTTTTCAAGTAAAATTTGTGACTTTGGTCCTTGTGTACAAAATTAATTTGTACTGGTAGGATTTAAATATCCTTTTTAAGGTAAAGAAGGATTTACCTTATTGCATTTTATATTTCCAGTAAAATTAATTTTGTACATAAGATGTACATGTAAGATTAGTCACAATTTTACTAGTGACAATAATAAAATTGTAACACAAAAATAAATATACTGATTGGATTTGAATATCCTGGAAAGGTAGGAATTTACCTTATTGCATTTTATATTTCCAGTATATTTATTTTGTGACACAATTTATATATTCCTAATTTTGTCACCTTCCTTCCTTTTTGGACCATACTTCAGTTCACACAATGATCATTCAATATCGAATAGAGAATTTAAACATCAAGGGAGGATGGCATCATCAAAACTATATTTCATCAAAGTCTGAGGGGCCTAACAATTTCCCCCTTTTTGATGATGCCAAAACAAAAAAAAAACTAGATTCTGAATACATAAAACAAAGATAAGCTAGATTCTATTTTCCCCCTTTTTGGCAGCAGCTCAAACCTAGATTAGTTCTGTCTCCTAGATGATTCTCCTTCATCCAGTTTTCTTTTTCTTCGAGTTCTTTTGAGTTGGTCTAATTTTTGGTTGTAGACCTTCTCAATGAGTTCCTGGGAAAGGGCTTCTTCTATGGAGCTTGCTCCCAACCATTTGAGAGCAAATTCTTCTTCTTTTGGGATGAGGGGTGCCATAAGAAGAAGTTGGTCGATTGGAGCGTGTCTCCAATACTTCCACTTTAGGACTCTCTGTCTTTCTTGGTCGAGAGAATCCTTGTCAGTGGTGTATATTATCCATGATTCTAGGTCACTGATGAATTTATCAGGAGCATTTGGGGGGCCTAAGGAGAGATTTAGGTTGAGTCTGTGATGTGCCATTAGAGTGTTTTGGCTTAAGGTGTGTTTGAAGAGGACCTTTTAGTAGAGATGGTTGCAAAAGATGCTTGTTTATTTGAGGATTAACCTGGATATTTATACTTGCATGCATCGTTTGGGATTCTTGGTTGAGAAATCAAGTCGTATTAATGGAATTACGGCTTGATGTTCTTTTCAAGAATAAAATCAGCATAGATAAAAGAGAAAAATTGGTTGGAGGAGCTTACCAATTTAATGATGTTGCTTCCCAAGATTTTATTGAATCACCATGTGTCGTAGTTGCATGCATGCGTAGATTCCTGACTCCTTTTGTTAAAGTGATTCTACCTCTGGTTGAGGTAGTCGTCTGTTTTAGCTTAAGAGATTGTCTGTGATGTCTCCTCTGGTCCGAGACCTTCTGATAGTTTTTGAGACTTCTGATCTGAGGTCTTCTGATAGTATTCAGGCCTTCTGATCTGGGGTCTTCTGATAGTTATTCAGACCTTCTGATCTGTGGTCTTCTGATAGACAGGCTTTCTGATCTGAGGTCTTCTGATAGTATTCAGACCTTCTGATCTGGGGTCTTCTGATAGTTATTCAGATCTTCTGATCTGTGGTCTTCTGATAGACAGGCTTTCTGATCTGAGGTCTTCTGATAGACAGGCTTTCTGATCTGAGGTCTTCTGATACATCGTTGAGACCTTCTGTATAAGGACCATAGAGCTTCATTCCCTTGTCTTTGTGTGCTCCAACTTCTTTGATGCTCATTTTGATAGAGGCTTGAGTACATTTTCCCCCTGAGTTGATGTTTTTGGTAATTCCCCCTCATAATTGAGTGGAATTCCCCCTGAGTTGTTGCAGACTTTATTCTCTACTTTGATCTAGATCATCAAGCATTCCTAGGTCTTGTCTTAGAGAATTGAACCTGGCTTCATTTAAGGGCTTAGTGAAGATGTCAGCCAGCTGCTTTTCTGTGGGGATGTACTCTAATCTGATGGTTTTCTTCTCAACATGTTCTCTGATGAAATGGTGTCTGATCTCAATATGCTTGGTTCTTGAGTGAAATACTGGATTATGAGTTATTGCTATAGCACTTGTGTTGTCACACAGAATGCTGACTTCCTTTGTTTCCTCTCCATAATCCCTCAATTGCTGCTTCATCCATAGTATTTGTGCACAGCAGCTGCCTGCTGCTATGTATTCTGCTTCAGCAGTGCTTGTGGCAATTGAGTGTTGTTTCTTGCTGAACCAAGAAACAAGTCTTCCTCCAATCATTTGACAAGTTCCAGAAGTGCTTTTTCTGTCAATTTTGCACCCAGCAAAGTCTGAGTCTGAATATCCATATAGATCAAAATTTCCATTTGTTGGATACCATAATCCAGAGTTAGGATTTCCTTTTAGATATCGTAGGATTTTCTTTGCTGCAAGAAGATGGCTTTCTTTGGGTTTTGATTGAAATCTTGCACATACCCCAACTGAGTAAGAGATATCTGGCCTACTAGTTGTAAGATATAGCAGAGAGCCAATCAGTCCTCTATAGAGTGTAGGATCAGTGTCTTTGCCATCTTCATCTGGAGTTAGTCCTTGAGAGGTGTTCATGGGGATCTTTACAGTAGACTTGTTCTCAACTTTGAATTTCTTCATGAGATCTCTTGTGTACTTTGATTGGTTGATGAAGATACCTTGTGGAGTCTGCTTCAC